ACATTCCGCATACTTTATGTCCTTCACTTCGTCTTCATTTTATCACTACAATTTTACGCGAGCTTTAACTAGAAACCACACCGCTGGTTTTTCTCGCGTTCTTTAAACATTGCATGGATGGCACTCAATAACACACTTTGTCCAACTATCGTTTCCCATTCTTCCCATGCGACCCGGTACGGCTGTTTACACACAGCCTCTTGCTTAAATTGCTTACAACAGGCCGCAGAGTCATAATTTATTGGGAATATGCTGCAAGTAACCGACATCTAACATACGTTGTTCCAAGATTTGCTAGGTAAATGCTAGCGAAGCATCACTTTCACACAACGAAACTAGTAATGGTAGAATAAAAACCTTGTTTTCCCGACTGAGACGGTATTTGCGCAGTTGAATGAGCAGGTCCGGCTCCTTTTCACCTGTTTCCTGATCGATGCAAATGATTTGGCACCTTATGCATGGCCTGAGTAGCTGAAAACTTTTCCACCAGTTTGCAGCAACTGGCAACTGGTACTGTTCATGCATTTTTTGCGCGATTTCGTGCAGCATTATGATCGCTGACTGCATGAACAGTCGCAGTTTTGAAATCTGATACGTATGCTCATGTTTGTCGGCCTTTTCTTGCACATTGTAAGAGACCCCAACCAGCTTTTTGTTGTCACAACCATAAGCTTCATGAATTAATAAATTGGGACATAGAGGAGTCGGGATAAATGTGGAAGAAAAATTTTGGGATAAAAATAAAAAAACGGGAAGCGTTTATCTCCCGTGAGAAATCCTAGAAAATTAAGCCTTCTCTCGACGCCGCATATTCGAAAATCCCTAAGAAGTCAAAGGCTTAGTCTATTTCGGAATTTATGAAACTACTTCCAAAAATTCAAAGTTTCGAAATCTTCTTTCTCCAAAAACTTCACATTTATGAAGATTTTTATGCGTTTTTGCTGTTCAGCGCTATAGAGCTGCTACAGCCAGCAAAAACGCATATTGTCGAGAGGCTGTCTGTGCGTGTGTGTGTGTGTGTGTGTATGTGTGTGTGCGGAAAGAGAGTGCATTTTACCACCTACTTTCATATCAGCAACCAAGAAAGCTGGGAGGCTGAAACTTTGGATATATGTTCCTATCCCGTGTGTCATCCTCCGTTTTAAGATCTTTCCCCATACACGCATAAACCCCGCATACGGGACTCCCAAAGAAATGTGTTGGCGGGAAACGATTTCGTGAACTAGGCAACGCAGAGGCTGAAGCTTTGCAGGGATATTCTCTAGGCACGTGCGAGATAAAAGTTTTAAACTCAACCCTCTAGCTCCCTAACCACAGCCTCAAGCAGCTCTTGAACCCAAAAATTGTTAGCAACTCGGACCCGAACCGCAATTATATATGCAAATGAACATGAATTTTTTGAAAAACGACCGTTCGAGCAATACTTTCAATTTTTCAATTTTTCAATGAACTGAAAATTTGCATGTTTCAAAAAATTCGTTCGCAGCTCGGACCTTAACCGCAATCGTATATGTAAATGAACGCGCATTTTTTGAAAACGACCGCTCGAGCAATACTTATACTTTTTATTTAACTAGAAATTTGCGTTATTTCAAAAAATTTGCATCTGTCATTTTTTCACAAAGCTAGCATTTATCGAAAAAATGACCTGACTTCATGCAAAAAACCGGTAATCATGCTCCTGGATGTGCACCACCTTCATCCCCACTGTAATGCACCACCTTCATCCCATCTGATGCCCTTCCTCCTGCATGCCGGTAAGGATCAAAACACTGCCAATATTAGGCTACAGCGTAGGGATCATTCCTGCTAATAGCGATCTGCGAGTTTAGTGCAAAAACGCATGATGCACCGGAGAGCCTGGTGCGTTCCAGCCTGGGTTGCATATGTTAAAAATTTTAAAAACGCAATAATGATTTTTATCAGCATGTGTCCCTGCCTTCATTGTAATTCACAGGTATGACACGGACTTTTGATGGAATTAACCATGAACAGTGCTTTCAACCAAATAAATTCAGGGGGTTGGATCAGTAATTTTAGTATAATTCATTTAATGATTCAGAAGTTCTAAGATTAGATTCTGAGTTGTCGCAACGAAACTATATCTTTACCTCAAACTCTACGTCGCCAATCGTTAAATTTTTAATTTGATCCTCGCAGAATGCTGGTAAACCATCGATAATGAAGTTGGCACGAAATCGTTTGACAATTTCGTCAGCAGAGCGGTCCACTATAGATGCCAGATAAGTAACTGATGCGCGGTTGATGAGCAAATAAGGAGCGGAGTTGCTGAGACTGCGTGGTTGCCAGCGGCCGTCTGAAAATGAATTTGCTTCTCTTCCCAAGTTTCGAGCTTTAGTATTATGAAATACCTGACGTTTTACAGTGCTTGCTGAGTTATCGAAGAGTGTTTGCTGTATTACATCAAAAATAGGGAAGTGCCCAGACTTTGCACAATTCGCAGATGTTGATTCCTTGCAATTAAACAAATCTTTTTCGATTCGATTAATCACACTTTGTCGGGTTTAGTACCATCTAGCTCGATTCAGCACCCCATCCTCTTCCCTTCCTCCTTCCTCCTTCCCCTCCCCCCTCCTCCTCCCCCGCCCCCTGAGTAAAATCAATTCTACTAATTATAAAAACCCTCGTCTTATTCAGTAGCACGCAGAAGCTGCAGTCAAAGAAGGGCCTTTCTCACTAATTTTTTGCGCATCCCTTGTGCTTGATGAAAGCCCGAGCAAACCAACTATGATTTGTTA